ATGATCGATGATTCCGGTCTTCTCGTCTATCGAGGACGTGTAAGAGTTGCTACTACTGGTCGTGGTCAGAAAAAGGTCAGAAAAAGATTCATGTTTATCGAATGCTACAAAAAAGACGGTGTTCGAGCGGCTCTTTGGCACGGTCCTCGGCCACAGTTGTGCATTGTCATTTGAGGTGCAATGTTTACGGTGACAAAACTTAGTGACTGAGTATTTTGGTGATAATTGAGAGCTAAATACAATTTCTCGCTGATGCATAACCCCCCAAAACATTTCTTAGGTTCATTTTCACAACATACACGACTGTTTTCATTATCCTTTTCATCTTTGTCTGTGTCTGTCTGTCTGTCTGTCTGTCTGTCTGTCTGTCTGTCTGTCTGTCTGTCTGTCTGTCTGTCTCTCTCTCTCTCTCTCTCTCTCTCTCTCTCTCTCTCTCTCTCTCTCTCTCTCTCTCTCTCTCTCTCTCTCTCTCTCTCTCTCTCTCTCTCTCTCTCTCTCTCTCTCTCTCTCTCTCTCTCTCTCCCTTATTTTCCCTCCTTTACTTCAAGCATTACTCTCTACCTCCTACAAGCAAGAAGGAAGGAGAGACGCCACCACAACCACCTGGAGGAAGACAAAGGAAACTTGTCTCTAAAGCGACGCCTGCAAAGTTTAGTTAGAAAATATGGGTTGAGCTCAAGTTTCTCCGTGGGTGATCTTTTATACTGTGGTGGCTGGCTGCGGCGAGACCCAGTAACACTCAAACTTTATAAAGCCTCTCATATCTGGGCGCCGCTCCTGCTATTTCTGTCTCTTACTTCATGTGTGTAAAAAGCACCAAAAATATGGGCTCCATAAAGAGCTTCTTTTGGTAATGGAGGAGAGAGATATACACACAGAGATGCGAGGCTCTGACGCCAGGCTGTGGATGCTGGTTCTCTTTCCTAGCGACTGGGAGGTGCAGGTGGTGGTGAGGGTGGTGTAGTGGTAGTGAAGGTGGTGTAGGGGGTGGTGGTGTAGGGGGTAGTGGTGTAGTTGTTAGTGTAAATGGTGGTGTAAGTGTTGCAGGTGGTGTGTAGATGGTGGTGAAGGTGATATAGGGGGGTGGAGAACGTGATATAGGTGGGGGTAAAGATGGTGTGCGTGGTGGTGAGGGGGTGGTGTAGGTGATATAGGTGGTGGGGAAGATGGTGTAGGTGGTGGTGACGGGTGGTGATGTAGGTGGTGGGGAAGATGGTGTTGGTGGTGGTGTAGGTGATATAGGTGGTGGGGAAGATGGTGTGCGTGGTGGTGAGGGGGTGGTGTAGGTGGTGGTGAAGGAGGTGTAGGTGATGGTGAAGGTGGTATAGGCTGTGGTAGTGCAAACAGATAAGACTGTGATACAGGTGGCGTACACTGTTATGCAGATAGTGCAGGGTATTGTGCAAGGGATTGTTGTACTAAGTGGTCGTTGTTAATGGTGTACGGGTGTCGTAGACTACTGTGCAGGTGGAGGTGTTGACTATGTTGCAGAGTACAGTGCAAGGTGGTGATGGGGAAAGTGTGACGCAGGTGCATGCACAGGCGATGGTGCCTTTAGTGGTGTAAGGTGATGGTGAAGATCGTCCCTCGTTGTCGAAGATGACCTTGACCTCAATATATTTGTTGAGGTCATGACTTGCGCTTGACTTAGAGTAAAGTGAGGGAGAGTTGGACAAGTCGACTGCCTCACTACCCCGGCGTATCTGGGTCTAGCGGCAGGACAAGTCTAGACGGCAGGAGATAGGTTAGGATGCAGTGGCTGGCCAGCAGTGACCTACGTGTCTCACTGTGCCTTAGTTGAGCTCCACGGCGCTTACCTACGTGTCTCACTGTGCCTTAGTTGAGCTCCACGGCGCTTACCTACGTGTCTAACTGTGCCTTAGTTGAGCTCCACGGCGCTTACCTACGTGTCTAACTGTGCCTTAGTTGAGCTCCACGGCGCTTACCTACGTGTCTCACTGTGCCTTAGTTGAGCTCCACGGCGCTTACCTACGTGTCTCACTGTGCCTTAGTTGAGCTCCACGGCGCTTACCTACGTGTCTCACTGTGCCTTAGTTGAGCTCCACGGCGCTTACCTACGTGTCTAACTGTGCCTTAGTTGAGCTGCACGGCGCTTACCTACGTGTCTAACTGTGCCTTAGTTGAGCTCCACGGCGCTTTGCTGGGTCCACCTTCCTGCCTGTTGAACCATTCTGGTGATTTCCTTCCACGCAGGCCGCCGGGTCCTGTCTACGCATGTGTAGGTAGACAAGCCTTAGTACTTCAGTGAGACATTATGGGTATTCGTTAAGCTGGTACTCGCTTCTCCTTGTATCATGGCGAGTCCAGAGACGAGAGTTCAATCCCGCCTATTGCGGTAACATTGTCTTATGTCTCGCCTATTTTCCTGCTGCCATGAGGTTTCTTGGTGAGGGGGCGGGGGGGGGGGGGGGGGGAGGTAATTGGTTCCTGCCTCTTTCCCCCCCCCCCTCCCTTCTCCTCATCCCCCTCAACATTCTACTTTCCTCCCTACATTCCCCTCTCTCTCTCTCTCTCTCTCTCTCTCTCTCTCTCTCTCTCTCTCTCTCTCTCTCTCTCTCTCTCTCTCTCTCTTCATATTCCTTCAATGCACTGTCTTAAGCATTATTTCCTCCTTATTCATTTAAATTTGCAAGTAAACTCTTTCAAATATATTTATTGTTTTGATGATAGGATTATTCTGGTCATTGTTTAAAGTGGTCTATCTTAACCTACCAAAGGATCCAAAAGAGAAAACTGGACAGTACGTCAATTTCGCGAGCCGCTTCCATTTTATAGTACGAAAATAGTTAGCCTTATGTAACGCATACGAGTGAACTGCGACGTTCTTTGTTAGAGGACAGGTTGGGTGGTCACGGACACCATGGGACACGGAGGGACGTTCTAAGACATATATCTGCGGCCAGAGACCATTTAGAATAAACAGGAACAACCAAAGCCGGTCTGAGACACACACTGAGACGGTCAATCAAACGGGCTTGTGCTCAGACAGTCTGGGAGAGGCAGAGAATTGCAATTGGGAGTATTCAAGATCAGCAGCAGATAATGACAGAGACGGTTATTGGAACACAACCAGGAAGGTCAGGCACACGCCAGGAAGATCAGGCACACGCCAGAAAGGTCAGATACACGCCAAGAAGGTCAGCTGCGTTAAGGAACGTACAGATATTGTTAAGAATGTCTATGGTCTCAGACATTGAGACTCCCAGAGGTCATCTCAAGACGTATAGGGAATGTAGGAATGTTCTGCAAGCCTTTGAGATTAAGAACGGACACAGGTATAAGGACAATTTACTAGACAGCGAAGAAAGTATTTCCACAAACTAATATTAACGAACAAGATAATTTTATAAATATCGATAAACATGTGGAAAATCCACAGAAAAATGGGAAAGGAAGATGAACGTTTCGGCCGATCAAAGCCGTTGTCAACACCAGACTGACTAGAAGAAACGGAAGAAGAAAGGGATTTATCGCATACAAATAATCAGTGTTTCGTGATCGTCAATTGCATCGATAAACATAAAGATAACGTGAGAGAGAAGGGCGGAGATTGAAGTGGAACACGACCATGACTGTCTCAAGACTTATAAACCAGCAGCAAATGACAGGCAATATGCCTCATCGATCAAGACTTATCAGAGGTTAGCATGGAAGATGATGGTTATTATGGACGCTCAGTATCAAGAAAACATTATCTCTAAAAAAGGCTGTCAGACATTGACAAGATGATCCAAATTGCGAGAGGGGAACAAACCCAGCCTTAGAGACAGCCAGAAGCTCTGAGTAATTCCCAAACGGCTCAGACTAGTAAGGGAGGCTCTATACTCGTACTCTATGCTATAATGTCATGTCAATCATACTCAACCATCACAACTCTAACGTCTAATGATGCTGGGCTTAAGATTAACTGACTGTTGGAGGGTTATTAAGACCACCACAATTGCTTATAGGACAATCATCATGCATTTTGCCGCGCTCAACATTCACCAAAGCCAAGTTCAATCAATGAACAAATCCACAAGGGCCGTGACGAGGATTGGAACCTACGTCCGAGAGCATCCCAGACGCTGCCTTAATCGACTGAGCTACGACATGGACAAAATCCTTATCGAATCCTCGTCACGGCCATCGTGGATTTGTTCATTGATTCATCACGTTATTGTGACTTCTGGGTGCATTAAAACTCTAAAGCGTCCTTACAGCAAGATAAAGGATACACCTCTGGGTGTACCCCTTCGTAACACCAACACGGTGTTACTAAGCCTTGCTGTTATACACAGGTAAACACTGCAAATTACGTACGCTAACACCTGATTTCTCTCGTTAAAAAAAAATTATATTAATTCACTCTAATTTCATATTTAATTCTAGCAGTAATTGGTAAAAACTTAACATTAAACATATAAACTTAGATGTAAACTGTAAACTTACATTTTTTAAGATTTCTGGGATAAGTTTCAAAAGTGAACTGACATTATTTGTCCAGCAAACTGGTCTAATTTTAACAGTACACAAGGGTAAACTTCGTCGATTATGCGCTGATTCTCAAAAGTTCACCAGCCAGTTAATTGGGGACCTGGTTGTAAACCAGAAGTCAAATAGTTCTCAAGGAAGAACTAGTATAATACAGCTTAACTGATCCTCGGAAAAAGAGGCTTTGAACCAGCTGACAGAGTGGCGAGGTTGCTGTCCACCGACGCATAGGCCGTGGAGAGACAGGTAGCAAGTGGACTTTGTTAGGGAGGATACAGGAGACAATCCTGGTGGGGATAGACTATGCAAGAAAGGACTTTTCTGGGTTGGATAGACAGTATAAGACATTCTCAGCAGTACCTAAGATTGAGCTTGAGCCTCACACTTCCACTCGTCTGGTTCAACCACTTGGGCTGGACGGCTCTCACATTATAGCGACCGGTGGAATAATTCAGATCTGGATATTGAAAGAATGAGGTCTTTTATTGACTATTTTCTTCCTGCAGGTGGAGCTCCTACACGGGCGGGGGCGTGGGTGGTGTGGGCGTGCGCCTGGCGGATATGGGCGGCATGGAGGACCGTCGCTCCTACGCACTCTCTCCCGGGGCGGCTGTCCTGGTGATCGAGGCCGCCCACCCCTCAGACGCCCATGCTTACACCTGCACCGCTAACAACTCCCTCGGCATCGACCAGGTAGGCAAGTGCGTCCCTCGAACCAGTGCCTGTAACTGGTGCCTAGGTACGCCAGATGGAGAAATAGGAATGTAAGTGTACCAGGGAAGTAGGTGTGGAGTGAGGGAATACAAGGCACTCAAGGAACCTTGCAAGGCACTCAAGGAACCTTGCAAGGCACTCAAGGAACCTTGCAAGGCACTCAAGGAACCTTGCAAGGCACTCAAGGAACCTTGCAAGGGAACCTTGCAAGGCTCTTAAGGAACCTTGCAAGGCACTTAAGGAACCTTGCAAGGCACTTAAGGAACCTTGCAAGGGAACAAGGCACTTAAAGAACCTTGCAAGACTCTTAAGGAACCTTGCAAGGCACTTAAGGAACCTTGCAAGGCTCTTAAGGAACCTTGCAAGGCACTTAAGGAACCTTGCAAGGCACTTAAGGAACCTTGCAAGGCACTTAAAGAACCTTGCAAGGCTCTTAAGGAACCTTGCAAGGCATTTAAGGAACCTTGCAAGGCACTTAAGGAACCTTGCAAGGCACTTAAGGAACCTTGCAAGGCACTTAAAGAACCTTGCAAGGCTCTTAAGGAACCTTGCAAGGCATTTAAGAAACCTTGCAAGGCACTTAAAGAACCTTGCAAGGCTCTTAAGGAACCTTGCAAGGCATTTAAGGAACCTTGCAAGGCACTTAAGGAACCTTGCAAGGCTCTTAAGGAACCTTGCAAGGCATTTAAGGAACCTTGCAAGGCACTTAAGGAACCTTGCAAGGCTCTTAAGGAACCTTGCAAGGCATTTAAGGAACCTTGCAAGGCACTTAAGGAACCTTGCAAGGCTCTTAAGGAACCTTGCAAGGCATTTAAGGAACCTTGCAAGGCATTTAAGGAACCTTGCAAGGCACTTAAGGAACCTTGCAAGGCTCTTAAGGAACCTTGCAAGGCACTTAAGGAACCTTGCAAGGCTCTTAAGGAACCTTGCAAGGCACTTAAGGAACCTTGCAAGGCACTTAAGGAACCTTGCAAGGCACTTAAAGAACCTTGCAAGGCTCTTAAGGAACCTTGCAAGGCATTTAAGGAACCTTGCAAGGGTCTCTTGAGTGTATAATGTATAATGAATGTATATATATAATGAAAGACTTCTACGTAAGAACTTGCGGTTTCTTCCCAAATTTTCTTATTTTCTTATCCTACCATTCACACCTATTCCTTTTTATAATGTATTATTTAAATTATGCAATTGTTTGTCTTGTTATTAATGAATGTTTTTGAGTTTTTGCACTTTCCTTTTCCGTGTGTGTGACGGCTGTGACGGGTGGGACAGATGAGTGTGGAGGTGGTGGTGGAGTCGAGGCTCTCTGTTGTCGTAACGCCCCGAGCTCTCACGGCTGATCTTGGAGGCACCGCTACCTTTTCCTGCAGCGTCTCAGACACCGCAGCCACTGTGTCCTGGTACGTAACAGGGTACCACAGCCTGTGTGGACCAGCCACCGTGTACTGGTAGGTAACACGGTGCCACAGCCTGTATGGACCAGCCACCGTGTCCTGGTAGGTAACAGGGTACCACAGTCTGTATGGACCAGTCACCGTGTCCTGGTAGGTAACAGGGTACCACAGCCTGTATGGACCAGCCACCGTGTACTGGTAGGTAACAGGGTACCACAGCCTGTATGGACCAGCCACCGTATACTGGTAGGTAACAGGGTACCACAGCCTGTATGGACCAGTCACCGTGTCCTGGTAGGTAACAGGGTACCACAGTCTGTATGGACCAGCCACCGTGCCCTGGTAGGTAACAGAGTACCACAGCCTGTATGAACCAGTCACCGAGTCCTGGTAGGTAACAGGGTACCACAACCTGTATGAACCAGCCACCGTGCCCTGGTAGGTAACAAGGTACACAGCCTGTATGGACCAGCCACCGTGTCCTGGTATAGGTAGCAAGGTACCACAACATGTATGGGTCGGAGGAATTATTATCTGAGAGGCAGAAACAGTTAGAGGCAGGAGGGAGGAGAGAGAAATGCTTTGGTAATGGTTTCCAGACTATTTGATCATTATCAGTGGCGTGAGGGGTTGGCATCTGATAAGACCATCAGGCAGGAACTGAGATGCAGCCTCCCTCGGTACATGGCTGAGATGCGCTGCCAGTGATATGAGCATACAAGGTCTTGTTGACTGCAGTCAACCGTGCAACATCTCCAGCACCTCTGATATGACTAAATTGCAGAGATAAACAAAAATATATTTTTTGGGTATTGATTTCAATAGGACTATGGCAACAGTATCGGAGACTGTTGCCATGTTACCAGGGCTCTAAACACTTGGCATGATGTCCTCACTAAGCGTGCCGAGTGAGGGCTGGGGTGATGTCACAGTGATAAGATGTCTCATTTATTTAATTAATTTACTATAGACATTATTTATTTATACGTGTTTAATTAAAGATTATATTATTGATTTGATTTTATGTCAGAAATAAACACTCACACCGGCTCCTCATACCCATATACAGAATACACACACACATACACAGAATGCACATACACACACACAAACACAGGGCTACACATACACACATAGACTACATATACACGCGTAGGCTACACACATACACACTCACAGGGTACACACACACACACACACACACTAGGTGAATACAACTAGGTGAATACACGCATATGATACAAATATACACACACATGCAAAATACACACACATGCAGAATACACACACACACACACACACACACACACACACACACACACACACACACACACACGCGCGCGCGCACACACATACACACACACACACACACACACACACACACACACACACACACACACACACACACACACACACGCACGCCCGCATCTGAACAACAAATGATCAACATTGCCGTATAAAGCCATGAGTTAGTCAACTACAGAAACTCGTGAAATCCAAGACACAAGACACTTGTCTCAGACACAAAAGAAATGAACTACCACATCACAGTTTTACAAGCACTCTGCCAGAACAGTAACGGTGAACAGTGAACAATCTACGCACCATACTTTTCACAGGCACCAATGAGACTGGTCCAGATATATGCCACGAGGGGGCATAAATGCTATAATAATTCCAAAATGTGTTTCAGGGAAAGAGGAGAAAAACCTGTTCGATAAGTGTTGCCAGAAGTGCTACATAATTCCAAATGTGTTTCAGTTTCCTTCTAATTCTTTGGCTTTTTGCATTTCAGTTAGAAATTTGTGGCAGATACACACATTTTTTAGCTACTTCTTGACACTCGATAATTAAAGTGGTAACTTGTAAAAGTCATTTATATTGCTATGTTAGGTATTTCGCCTGGTATATTACCATGTGATTGGTGCTTAATGACTGAACTAGTTGTGTTGCGACTAGTTCAATAATTAAGCAATAGTGCAATAAAGACACCCGGATGTTGCGCGTCCGCGTGTCACAAGACGCTTCTTCCAATGTAACTTTGGACTATTCGTATAAATTTGTTACTCGACTTTGCAATTGTTTCTGCTAAGGATACATTTTCTTATATATATATATATATATATATATATATATATATATATATATATATATATATATATATATATATATATATATATATATATATATAGTCGGTGCCATAGTTGGTCACTGCCCCAGGCACTCACAGCTGGGTAAGTGCCCGCCTCGGCTGCTCTAGGAGCTCCTCAGATTTCTAAGCTTATTTCCAGCAGTATCTTTACCGGTATTGGGAAACAAACGCTAACAAAATGAACAGTGAACTAAGCTTGTGTTTTAAAAGCTTTCGGTCGCTTGCCAGTTGAGTAAAAAGCATATGCAATCAGCTTAATGCAGTCCATAAAGGGCGAGAGTATACTGAAAATGGGAGGTTTCGTGAGGTTGGGGAGGTAAGGCTCCATGAGGTTGGGGAGGTGAGGCTCTGTGAGGTTGGGGAGGTGAGGCTCCGTGAGGTTGGGGAGGTAAGGCTCCATGAGGTTGGGGAGGTGAGGCTCCGTGAGGTTGGGGAGGTGAGGCTCTGTGAGGTTGGGGAGGTGAGGCTCTGTGAGGTTGGGGAGGTGAGGCTCTGTGAGGTTGGGGAGGTGAGGCTCCGTGAGGTTGGGGAGATGAGGCTCCGTGAGGTTGGGGAGGTGAGGCTCTGTGAGGTTGGGGAGATGAGGGTCCGTGAGGTTGGGGAGGTAAGGCTCCGTGAGGTTGGGGAGATAAGGCTCCATGAGGTTGGGGAGGTGAGGCTCCGTGAGGTTGGGGAGTTGAGGGTCCGTGAGGTTGGGGAGGTGAGGCTCTGTGAGGTTGGGGAGGTGAGGCTCCGTGAGGTTGGGGAGGTAAGGCTCCATGAGGTTGGGGAGGTGAGGCTCCGTGAGGTTGGGGAGGTGAGGCTCTGTGAGGTTGGGGAGGTGAGGCTCTGTGAGGTTGGGGAGGTGAGGCTCTGTGAGGTTGGGGAGGTGAGGCTCCGTGAGGTTGGGGAGATGAGGCTCCGTGAGGTTGGGGAGGTGAGGCTCTGTGAGGTTGGGGAGATGAGGGTCCGTGAGGTTGGGGAGGTAAGGCTCCGTGAGGTTGGGGAGATAAGGCTCCATGAGGTTGGGGAGGTGAGGCTCCGTGAGGTTGGGGAGATGAGGGTCCGTGAGGTTGGGGAGGTAAGGCTCCGTGAGGTTGGGGAGATGATGCTCCGTGAGGTTGGGGAGGTGAGGCTCCGTGAGGTTGGGGAGGTGAGGGTCCGTGAGGTTGGGGAGGTGAGGCTCCGTGAGGTTGGGGAGGTGAGGGTCCGTGAGGTTGGGGAGGTGAGGCTCCGTGAGGTTGGGGAAGTGAGGGTCCGTGAGGTTGGGGAGGTGAGGCTCCGTGAGGTTGGGGAGATGAGGGTCCGTGAGGTTGGGGAGATGAGGGTCCGTGAGGTTGGGGAGATGAGGGTCCGTGAGGTTGGGGAGGTGAGGGTCCGTGAGGTTGGGGAGGTGAGGGTCCGTGAGGTTGGGGAGGTGAGGCTCCGTGAGGTTGGGGACGGTGGGTAAAAATAAAATAATCCCAGTGAAGCGTTTGCCTGGTATTAACACAGTTGTGTGTGTGTGGGTGCTTGGATGGCAGGTACTACAATGGATCGCCTGTGGTGGGCAGCGGACGGGTGGTGGCAGCTGGACGGCAGCTGATCGTGTCTGGGGTGACCCACGACGACCCTGGTATGTACCAGTGCCAGGCACTGAGGGCCAGCCAGGCAGCACAGCAGGCGGCACAACTTATGCTCGGAGGTAAGCAACTCTCTCTCCTGTCTCTCTCTCTCTCTCTCTCTCTCTCTCTCTCTCTCTCTCTCTCTCTCTCTCTCTCTCTCTCTCTCTCTCTCTCTCTCTCTCTCTCCTGTCTCTCTCTCTCTCTCTCTCTCTCTCTCTCTCTCTCTCTCTCTCTCTCTCTCTCTCTCTCTCTCTCTCTCTCTCTCTCTCTCTCTCTCTCTCCTGTCTCTCTCTCCTGTCTCTCTCTCCTGTCTCTCTCCTGTCTCTCTCTATCTCTCTCTCTCTCTCTCTCCTCTCTCTCTCTCTCTCTCTCTCTCTCTCTCTCTCTCTCTCTCTCTCTCTCTCTCTCTCTCTCTCTCTCTCTCTCTCACAGAATCCTGTTGACAGAATCCTGCTTTTGGTCATAAGTTTTTAATTGTCATTGTAATTAAATATCTGTCATTTATAAGTTTATTGTAATCTGAATAACAAAATTGCATATCAAACTTTTTATTACATTTACCAATAATCTCGACCTTCATTATAAATATGATTTTTATATTAAAATCTGATGCATTTTTACTCGAAAGTAATTGTATTTAAAGGAAATGTTGGCGTCGTCATTATTTGTTTGTTTGTTTTATATGATTCAGTGTAGGTTTTTTTATAATTTAATAGAAATTATGACCAAACGTTCACCCTTTCTTGACCCCTGGAGTTGGTACTTGACTCCTGGAGTTGGTACTTGACCCCTGGAGTTGGTACTTGACCCCTGGAGTTGGTACTTGACCCCTGGAGTTAGTACTTGACCCCTGGAGTTGGTACGTGACCCCTCCTGAAGCCTCAAGCACTGAGTGGATGACCTGATCTTATGTCCCTCACCTTACCTGATCTCAAAGGATATATATATATATATATATATATATATATATATATATATATATATATATATATATATATATATATATATATATATATTATTTTCATTATATCAATCTTTGGTTTTTTTTGTATGTAGGTTTTTCTTTTCCTCATTTGTCTTTTCTTTCTTTTTATTTTTCCTTTATGTCATTATTTTCGAGTGACTTATCTACTCGCATTCCAGTTTTCTTCCACCTTATCTCATCCTTTGGTTGCTTGGTGTGTAAATCAGTCATCACTGACATCTCCCATTGTTCTATTCTCTTTATGTGAGCCTGGGTCTATCCTGACGTCGTCCTCCTCCTTGTGTGGGTCTGGGTCCTTCCTGACGTCCCCCTACACCTTGTGTGGGTCTGGGTCCTTCCTGACGTCCCCCTACTCCATGTGTGGGTCTGGGTCTTTCCTGACGTCCCCCTACACCATGTGTGGGTCTGGGTCCTTCCTGACGTCCCCCTTCTCCTTTCTGTTCAACAGACTCGCCCCCGGTGCTTCACTACCGCTTCATCGAGCAGACCATCCAACCCGGGCCGCCTGTCTCCCTAAAGTGTACCTCCGTGGGCAACCCCACCCCCTCCCTCACCTGGAGCCTTGACGGCCTCCCTATATCCCAGTCAGACAGGTGAGTGACCTTTGTCTCAGTCAGACAGGTGAGTGACCCTTGTCTCGGGTAGGTGAGTGACTCTTACCTCAGTCAGGTAGGTGAGTGACCTTAGTCTGTCAGGTAGGTGGGTGACCCGTATCGCAGGGAACGAGGTGAGTGAGTTACCTCAGTCAGTAAGTCTAACAAGTGAACGCCCCTTACTTCATTCTACCAAGTGAACGCCCCTTACTGTAGCCTAACAAGATAAAGCCCCTTAACTTTTATGTAACAAGTGAATACCCCTTTCCCACTGCCTAATTAGAGTTCTTGATACCCACAAGGCAGATAAACGCCTCGAACGCCACACTCTATCCAGAGGTGTACTAGTGACATGTAAGTAATTCCTCACTAGCTATTGTTCTACGGGCTCACCATAGCCCGTGCTACTTGGAACTGCTTGTTCCAAGTAGCGAATCTTTAACAACATAGCTATTGAGCATAACTGTTGTGTTTGGCAATTGCTCTACTGCTGGCTGTGAGATGAACGACATGTCCTTTATTGATGTTATATATTAATGTGAGGATTAAATTATAATAGTGATTATAATCTTAATTTATTCATCAAATTTGTATAATCAATTATGTATATAAATATTTTTTTAAGATTTTATATTTCTTGTCAATACAAAACTGCATTTGCTGACCAAACCAAACCTCACACTAGAAAGTGAAGGGACGACGACGTTTCGATCAGTCCTGGACCATTCTCAAGTCAATTGTGTCCAGGACGGACCAAAACGTCGTCGTCCCTTCACTTTCAAGTGTGTGGTTTAGTCAACATATTTCAGCCACGTTATTGTGACTCTTCGTCTGCAAAACTGCATTTGGCAACCAATTAAAAAACATGTAACTGACATTCAACTTCCCTATGAGCGTGTTATACTAACATACTGTTAATTGCTTAACTCTGGTTCGTACATTCCCTAACACATTCAGTTTTTGTTGCCAAGGTATAAGTGCCAGCGTTTTACCAGGGCAAGCAGCTTATTCATCGTGGTACCCTTGTACAGCTTGTCACCTATAACCTGCCAAACACACACCGAAACTACGACGGTGGTACAACATTCGAACAAGTTTTAACACCTAACCAGTTATAACAACCAATATAGCAAGTTGTAACAACGTTCTAATACGACATAAACACGTTAAGCCAAGATGTAACAGCTTTATTACAAGTTGTAACAAGCGGAAAATAGACAGTTTCGGTTTGTGTTTCCAGGGTATATAGTATGCAGTCGTTCAGTATCGTGCATTGGCCATCTTACATATGCGGTTAAACATGTCATCAGGGAAGAATGCCATCCACTTTTTGGACTCCTGTAACCATTTCGTACACAAAGAGCATGGTATACTCTCTGTGTACGAGATGGTGGTGATTGTGTACAGCGTATGTAGCCTTACTAAATACGCTGGCATTATTTTAGTCATTAAACATATGAAGAACACTAAACTTGGATTCATGCATTAGTTGTAATTTGTTCACGAGCATTGTGCTCCACAAAAGCTTTACGACAAACTCTAGAGGCCACACACGCTTCAGAACCTGACTAAACAGACTATAATTATTACATTGTCTCTATATAGAGCGCGAGACAGTAGGCAACTGGTCGGCTCTATAATGAGGAAAGCGTATGCGTCCCGCACCGGACATTTATGGCTCCAAACACCTCATAAATCATCGTTAATTGGCGACCATCTGTCTGAGATATGAAGGATTCTACCCCTAAATGCCAACATGTTCACCAGCCTCCCTTTATTCCGCCCCCCCTTTTCCTCAAGCGAGACAGAACACCATATAAGATCCCTTTTCCTCGGCTACCAATCTCCTCTTTTGGTGCCTTCACCTGCTTGTAAAAGCTTCCGTCCTTCCTTAGACAAAAATCTCATCTCCGTTTCAATCTGTTCGCCATCTGTTTCATTCAATGAAACATGTCTAAATGAAAACCTGCTTCCAGTATACACCAATATTTTATTATTTAGTTAAGCGGTTGTTTACGTGAATGAGACGTGGTTGTGGTTGTTCGCCTGGTACAGGGTGATGGTTGGGGAGCAGGTGGGTGCCCGGGGCAAGGTGGTCAGCCACGTCAACGTCTCCCACACTAGAGTTGAGGACGGTGGGCGCTACCAGTGTACGGCCACTAATCGGGCGGGCTCCACTGCCCACGCTGCCAACCTTAACATTTACGGTGAGTACTGTGGTGTTGACTCTGTGTTTGGTGCTGCTGTGTAGGAAGTAGCGTTGAGTGTAGGCAAGGTGGAGTATCGTGAGCGGTTGAAGAGCTGCTGTATTGAACCACCAATCTGAGGTTATTGTGTGTGTGTGATAATTCAGTGCCTGAAATAGCACGAGTCGCTGGAAACAGTGTAACTCTGAATGCGGCGGGGCGTTCAAGCCCTTAGAGGCCGTTATTAACCTGATTTTACACGCTACTTCCGCAGGATTCCCGGTAACGAGGCCCTTGGCGACACTAACAGCCGTGGCAGACGAGCAGTTGGAACTGCGGTGTCCTGTGGCAGGTTACCCTCTCCACTCCTTCACCTGGATCAAAGGTGAGTACTTACCTGTTACTCTAGATAATGGGAAAATTAGTTCTAATATCTCGGCAAGAATGAAGTCAGACGACTCGCATTGATCAACCGTGAGTGGACGACTCGCATTGATCAACCGAAGAGTGGGCGACTCGCATTGATCAACCGAAGAGTGGGCGACCTGCATTGATCAACCGTGAGTGGACGACTCGCATTGATCAACCGAAGAGTGGGCGACCTGCATTGATCAACCGTGAGTGGGCGACTCGCATTGATCAACCGTGAGTGGGCGACTCGCATTGATCAACCGTGAGCACACCCACGTTACTTCACAGGACCAGAGGTGAGCGCTCTCCTGCGCGTGTGCTTGCCAGCACACCATCCGTACAGATGTCTGTGTGGGGTCATCTTCCCTCCATAGTGACGGTGTCCCATCATTCAAGAGCAATTAATCATGTCAACCCCTTCAGTTGCCAAGATATATATACATAATATATAAATAGTTCCTCACACTATCAATACTTAGGCCACTCTTGCCTAGTTTAGATGTATAATTAAATGAAGGAATTCAGGGAAAAGCGCCAAGACTTTACGACAATATTGCACTTAGAAAGGCGGTCAGGCTAAGGATTTGGGATGGGACGGGAGGAAGGAATGGTGCCCAACCACTTGGACGGTCGAGGGGATTGAACGCAGACCTGCATGACGTCTAATACTTATTACAGTATTAGACAGTAGTGAGTATTAAACAGCATGGGACTATCCACCGTCCCTACGACCCTTAGCGTCCGCTGCTCCTGTCAGCTCTAGCAGCAAGTGAAATATTAATTTGCATCTACATTACACTGTTTATTTAGATCTTTAAGCTCTGGTCACGGGGGCGCCAGTGTGTAATGGATTTTCAATTAGCTTTTAGCTCTCTGGGATGCGCCTGAGTAAGTACTCAATTAATAACCTTGTTTGCACTGATTTTGAGTCACGGTAATGTGCCCATGATACTTTTGTAGCGAATATTTTGTTGGCGTTTTGCGTAGTTTTGAGATGGGAAAGAAGTATATAGCATTTGGATAGCTGTTCAGGGCATTTTAATTTCAATTAAATTATTTTAATGTTGATTTCAAATGGTAATTATTAGGCTTCGCTAACCACGTCAGGAATCCTGACTCGCATTGAAAACCGGATCTATCCTTCACTCCTAAGGCGACAAAATCAACTCTCTCATAATCTACGCTGAGCTATCCATGATCCTTAAAGAACCCCCTCGATAACTCGTATACCCGGAGACGTTCCCGTCAAGGATCATCTTCAACTTCTTGAAGATTCTCAACCCTGGCTTTTCTCTAGGATATTCTTCACCCACATAAATATAATAGATATCATCTTTACAAAAATAATAAAAACTGCAGGAGCTCTGAGAGCAAGTCTCACTGCTAAATTTGTACTTGAAACTACGCCTGTAAATGTAATTTGTAGGAAAATGCGCAAAATTTATAACTAATCACCTTAACGAGTCTATTATATGTAACTCAGCATCCGTTGTGAATGATCTCGCTTACTATTGCTCTGCTCTTAGTAGATCTGTCACTTTCTGCCGACGAAACCTGATGTTCACACGTAATGACTTTTCCCATTATGTTGACACACTAGAAAGTGAAGGGACGTCGACGTTTCGGTCCGTCCTGGACCATTCTCAAGTCGATGTCAAGTCTTCCAATTATGTTTATTTTTTTTTTTTTACGATCGGTAAACTTCAGTCTGGGGGTTAGAGTGGGTTAAACATACCTAGTGTGGTTCAAGACGTACCACAAATGGGTCCAGATGTACCACGTATGGATCCAGACATACCCCTGTGTGGATCAAATTGGATCCCTTGTGGATACGTCCCACTCCTTCACTACCCAGTCCTCCCCAGTACCCAACTGCCTGAACAGCTCACCAGTGGTGGTGGTCGTCCACTTGACTGCCACATTCACCATCCTCTTAAGCACGTATCTATTACAGCATAAGACTTGAGCCTATTACTATGCTGAGTGTGCCTGTCCCGCGCTGTAATGCAATGTCTGATGCCACATTTGCTGTTGTTTACTCTCGCGTTTATACACATACTTTTGAGGCCAAATTTCGTGATGTATTAAATAAAATGTTTCTCGTCAACTTCTGAATATGTTATAGAGTTTGTGTACGTGTGCCCGACTGGTCTTCCATTCTGTGTACTCACCTAGCTTTGCTTGCGGGGGTTGAACTCTGGCTCTTTGGTCCCGCCTCTCAACTGTCAATCAACTGGTGGTCAGATTCCTGAGCCTACTGGGCTCTATCATGTCTATATTTCCAACTGCGTATGGAGTCTGCCTCCACCACATCACTGTCTAATGCATTCCATCTATTAATTTGATGGAATGTTTTTCTGCCTCCTGACTTTTCTGGGTGATGTAGTTCATCATAGTACAGTAAAGATGGTACAGACTTTCCACTGAGTTCGGTCTCCCATGGTATTAATGTTAGGAATTTTCTAATTTCATCATAGTATTCCCTTTGATCCTCCAGCCTTTTACTTTTCGGTCCATTCCTTGGATGGGTTAATCCTACTTTCACTAGATACTCAAATGTTAAGACACAGTGGTCACTCATGTCTATGGAGGGGCGGGGGGGGGGGTTCTGATTTGATTTCCCCTATGTCCGACTCGTTCAGAGTGAATACCAGATCAAGTCTGGCTGGTTCATCATTCTTTCTCATTCTGGTGGGCCCCTTGACATGTTGGCATAGAAAGTTTCTTGTCGCCACGTCTAATAGTTTAACTCTCCATGTTTCTGTCCCTCCATGTGGTTCTCTATTTTCCCAGTCTATCTTTCCATGGTTGAAGTCAACCATGATAAACAGTTAAGATTTCTTCCTGCAGGCAATAGAAGCTGCTCTCTGTTTTGTTAATGGTTGCCATGTTGTTTCTGTCATACTCCTGTCAGGGTCTTCTGTCATATAATGGGGAATTATATATTCTGTCATTATACTTGGTCCTCCTATTGTCATAGTTCCTGCATAGTGTAGTCTCTGAAATCTTCACATCCTGGAATGTCCATCTCTTCGAAACTCCATGCCTTCCTTATCAGCAATGCCACTTCTCCTCCTCTTCCCTCCCTCTCTTTCGTTACTATACAGTAGTTCTGTGGAAACACTGCATTTGTTATGATGTCTGAGAGTTTTGTTTTTGTGACTGCTATTACATCAGTGAGTTATTCTTGTGTTCTTTCTACAGGTCCCCTTATTTAATTCGTAATCCCATCCATGTTGTGTAAATCACTTTGAAGCTCACCTTATCTGTCTTCCTTACTTGTACTCTGTTCAACTGGTGCAGACAGTTGCTCCATGGATTGTGTTGTGTGTGTGTGTGTGTGTGTGTGTGTGTGTGTGTGTGTGTGTGTGTGTGTGTGTGTGTGTGTGTGTGTGTGTGTGTTTAAAGTGTGTGAATATATTTACCACTATATACATAATACAAATCAGATTGTTTTAAAAATAGCATTTCCGATGTTAATGGACACTATTTTGAGTGCCAGTTACCTGACAACATTGCTAAATATTGCACTTGCTTAATGTAACTGTGAACTCTGCGGAAGCTCCACGCTGCAGTTTATGTTCGTGTTTACTCTCGCGTTAGAACATTCTCTCGTTTAACCTATACATATTACAACCTTTATCTGGGTCTGCTCTCCCTAAATATTTACCAGAGTCACGATTAGAGAAGCACTTAAAATATCTCTCTCTCTCTCTCTCTCTCTCTCTCTCTCTCTCTCTCTCTCTCTCTCTCTCTCTCTCTCTCTCTCTCTCTCTCTCTCTCTCTCTCTCTCTCTCTCTCTCGTAGTCTCAGATGCTATTAGAACAAGTACGCACAGATATTCCTGTTGCCTGTAATTGTTTGATTTTACTACTACTCTGTGGTTAGCTACACATGCCTGACCACCATCGAAGGATATATAGGTGTCCGTCAGGGTGGGTATCCATTTGTAGTTCTACGTCAGCTGTTTTCCGCTCTTCCATGGGTCTATTGTGATACCATCTACGCGAAGCGCAGGACTGCAATGGTTTTGAGATAGAAAAAAGGAGGTTCCCTCTCTGCTGGGCCCTGGGTTGTGGCAAGGCTCTATGTATCATTAACTTCATTGTGTCTTGCGTGCCTACTCTTGGTGCTTCCACAGAGTAAGCCATTCAGCCGTATTGCTTGGTTTCCACCTTGTTGCAAATACACTTGTACTCTGTGTGGATTGGGATACAAAGTCTGATAGGCCACTGCATTACATATGGTCTCTGGGTAAAGCGTGTGCTTCTTGCAGACATAGGTCCTGCTAAAAGAGAATCCCTTACATGAGGGGCACCCACAGCGAGCTTTCTTCTGTTTTGATGTTACAATAGACATAAAGGCCTCAGCTGTTCTCTCTATCACTAGGCTGGCTTAACTGGACTGTTTGCGTCGTTTTATTTCTTAAAATCAAATACTAGGCGATTCGACCCCCTTATTTAATATAGTTCATGATATGACTATGTAGATCGTCGACAGTAGGAACTAATTTCACACACAATTCTTTGAGTGTTAAATAACGTGTATAGTCTGCCATGGAGCCTTAATCCCTTCACGTACTTTGTTTTTTTCTTGTCCTGTCGTGCTCTTTTCTTCATATATATATTTCAAGTCAAGCTTCCCCCTTCGCGACGGGGTCAAGAAGTCAAGCTTCCCCCCTCACGACGGGGTCAAGAAGTCAAGCTTCCCCCTCACGACGGGGTCAAGAAGTCAAGCTTCCCCCCTCACGACGGGGTCAAGAAGTCAAGCTTCCCCCCTCACGACGGGGTCAAGAAGTCAAGCTTCCCCCCTCACGACGGGGTCAAGAAGGCAAGCTTCCCCCTTCACGACGGGGTCAAGAAGGCAAGCTTCCCCCTTCACGACGGGGTCAAGAAGGCAAGCTTGCCCCTCACGACGGGGTCAAGTCAAGCTTCCCCTTCACGACGGGGTCAAGACGGCAAGCTTCCCCTTCAC